AGATGGACTAAAGATATACTAAAGATGGACTAAAGATAGATTATAGATGGACTAAAGATATACTAAAGATGGACTAAAGATATACTAACGATGGACTAAAGATAGATGAAAGATGGACTAAAGATATACTAAAGATGGACTAAAGATGGACTAAAGATAGATGAAAGATGGACTAAAGATAGATAAAAGATGGACTAAAGATATACAAAAGATGGACTAAAGATATACTAAAGATGGACTAAAGATAGATTAAAGATGGACTAAAGATAAATGAAAGATGGACTAAAGATAGATTAAAGATGGACTAAAGATATACTAAAGATGGACTAACGATGGACTAAAGATGGACTAAAGATATACTAAAGATGGACTAAAGATAGATGAAAGATGGACTAAAGATATACTAAAGATGGACTAAAGATAGACTAAAGATGGACGAAAGATTGAGTATGAAAGGAAGAAGGGACAAATCTGTCTGTGTCTCCATCCAGTGAATGAACAAGTAAAAATGTATTCCTGTAGAAAAATCAAATCAACCTCAACAGACTAAAGTGCTTAACAAGCTATACAATTAATTATTTTGCATCCTATTGAACAGCTATTAATTACACATTTATTAACCATTAATAATATCAGGTATAACAGCTAATAACACTAGTTAATAATTCTACTCAATTCAGTTTATTTCTGTAGCTCCAAGTCCCAACATATGTTGTCTCAGGTCACTGTAGAAAAACATTCAGAGACATTATAAAAGGTAATCACTTTGTCACAGTCTCCATCCTGAGCAAGCTCAAAGGAGACAGTGGAAAGGAAAAACTTCCTTTAACAGGAAGAAACCTCCAGCTGAATCAAGACAAGTGGCCATCTGCTTTGACCAGCAGTCTAAGCCTATAGTAGCTGAACTAAGGGATAGCTCAGGAAACCCAAGCCGACCCTAACTATAGGATTTATCAAAAAGAAAGTCTTAATCCCAGTCTTCAAACTGGATACTGTGTCAGCCTCACGGACAGAAACTGGAAGTTGGTTCCGCAAGAGAGGAGCCTGAGAACTGAAAGATCTTCTTCCCATTCTGGTTTTGGAAACTCTAGGAACTGCGAGTAAACCTGCAGCCTGAGAGTGAAGTGCTCTGTTAGGAAAATATGGAACAATAAGATATGTGATATAAGATGGAGCTAGGTTGTTGAGGGCTTTGTAGGTTAGAAGAAAGATTTTGAATTCTATTCTGGATTTGACAGGGAGCCAATGGAGAGAAACTTAAACTGGAGAGATATGATCTCTCCCAGTAACTCCAGTTAAGACTCTGGCAGCAGCATTTTGGATCAGCTGAAGACGTTTTATAGAAGTATTTAACACCCAGATAATAAACCATTGCAATAGTCCAGTCTAGACGTGACAAATGCATGGACCAGTTTTTCTGCATCATCTTTAGATCAGATGTTTCTAATGTTAGTGATATTACTGTAGTGAACTAGGCCTCCGACATCAATCTGTCTCTGAAGACCTTCAGGGGACACAAATTGTTATTTCATTGATTTGAATCCAGAAATACAAATTATCTCATCAAGAGACTATTTAATTGTATCCTGAATTAATCAATTGAAAGAACACTCTTCTTTTTTATATTATCATTAACTATTTTAAGATATCTTGATAATCAAAAGTGTGTTTAGTTCATACCATTTCCAATGTTGAAGTGAACCACTCATTTAAATCAACTGTGAAACAGTATTAATGATTCTTAAACCTCATTAGACTTCATCAATCATACAAGTTAAATGTCTATTTACGAAGTAAGTGTGCATTCACTCTTCTGTCTGTGTGAGGAGTGGACCTGATGTCGGTCAAAAGTCAGAGACAAGTTATGAGAACGAAGTGCCTTGTTTTAAAACTCTCAAGACAGTAAATAAGAACTGGCTGGCACCTGTGGGATTCCTGTTTTCCCTCTGTCTGTTTGTGTCTGTTTGTCAC